CGCACTTAATAAAATTAACAATAATTTCTTGAAATCATCCAAAGTCTAGTCCAGGTTCAGTTTTTTCCCATTTGTTTCAAACTCTATATTTATAGTTGGTTTGTTTGATTCATGATCCAAACAAAGTTCACACATAGTATTTAGTTGATCTGTCCCCTTTAAATTAGGAACAGTCCCCCTTTCCTTTTATTTTCATTTTACTTATTTGATGAAGAAATTGGGTTGTCACATAGTGTTTCCTTCATTCTGGATTTGGCTGGCTGAATTCTTGTTTTTTAAATCTCACCCTAGGATATGTCTTTATTGTTTTTAGAGAGAGAGGAGAGAGATTGAGAGAAGGTGAGCCTCTCATTGCTCCCTGATGGGGGATCAAACCTACAACCTAGGTATGTGCTCTGACTGGAAATCAAACCCACAATCTTTTAGTGTATGAGATGACAATCCAACCAACTGAGCCACTTGGCTAGGGCTGGCTGGCTAGGTTCTTAGCTTGGTTTTTAACATGTTCATGGGAGTTAGGGGCTTGATTAGGTTCAGGTTTAATTAATTTGGTGGGTAAGTACACTTTATAGATAGTTCTTTGTCCTGTTATGTGATATGGACATCTGGGGCACAAGTCTGAAGTCAATAAAATATTTTTAAAAAGTAAGCTGTCATATTTTAATGGAAATTTTTATTGAGATAATTGTAAATTCACATGTAGTTGTAATAAATAATAGTGTTTTCCCAATGATAACATTTTGTAAAATTATTGCATAATATAACCAGGATAATGACATTATTAGAATCCACTGATTTTACTCAGATTCCCCCAACTATTACTAGTACTTATGTGTGTGTGTTTTATACAATATATATCACATGTGTAGGTTTCTGCATCCGTTACCACAGTCAAGATATTGAACAGTTCCAATACCATAAGAATCCCTTACATTTTATAACCATATCTATTTTCTTCCTATTCATACACAGTATTGCGTGCATCAATAGTTTATTCCTTTTTACTGAGTAGTGTTCCATGGTGTATATACACTGAGTGGCCAGATTATTATGATCCCCGGTGCATGAATTCGTGTATGGGTGGGGTCCGGACAGCCTGGCCAGGGGAAAGGGACATGGGCAGTTGGCCGGCCTGCCTGCTGGTCAAACTCCCGGTCGAGGGGGAAATTTGCATATTAGCCTTTTATTTTATAGGATATACACTGAGTGGCCAGATTATTATGCGTTCAGAGATCATAATAATCTGGCCACTCAGTGTATATCAGAGTTTAACCATTTACCTGTTGAATAAGATCTGTACTGATTGTAATTTTTAAAAAATATTTTTTTTTATTTTTTACAGAGAGGAAGGGAGAGGGGGAGTGAGTTAGAAACATTGATAAGAGAGAAACAATCAGCTGCCTCCTGCAGCTGTGCCTGCAACCAAGGTACATGCCCTTGACCGGAATCAAACCTGGGGCCCTTCAATCCACAGGCCAATGCTCTTTCCACTGAGCCAAACCAGTTAGGGCTTGCAATTTTTTACTGTTACAAATACAGCTGCTGTGAACATTCATGTACAGGTTTTTGCATGACCATGTTTTCATTTCTCTGAGATAAATGCCTAAGAGTGTAATTGGTAGGTCATGTAATTACATGCTTAATTTTGTAAGAAACTTACAAGTTCTTTTCCAAAGTGACCAAACTGTTTTACATTCCCACCAGCTATGTGTAAGTTATCCAGGTTCCCTGCATCCTTGCCAGAATTGGGTGTTGCCACTATTTTTTATTTTAGCCATTGTGATAAAGTGTGTAGTCATATCTTGTTGTGGTTTTAAATTGCATTTCTCTGGTGGTTAATGTTTTCAGTGTGCTAATATGCAATCTGTATTTCCTTTTTGGTAAAATGTTCTGTTCATGTCTTTTGTTTTTAAATATGATTTCTTTACTATTGTGTTTTGAGAGGCATTTTTATTAGATACTAGTTTTTTTTTTGTCAACTGTGTGGTTTGCAAATATTTCTCCCAGTTTGTAGCTTTTCATCCTCTTAACAAGGTTTTTTGAGAGTGAAAGTTTTTAGTTTTGATGAAGTTCATTTTATCAGCTATTCTTTTTATGGATCGTGCTTTTGTTGTCAAGTGTAAGAACTGTTTGGCTGACCCAGATCCTGAAGATTTTCTCCTGTGCGTTTTTTTTTTTTTTGGTACAAGTTTTATAGGTTTACATTTTACATTGAGGTCTGTGATGCACTTTGAATTAATCTTTGTATAAAGTTTGAGGTGTAGGTTGAGATTTTGTTGCCTGTGGATGCCCGCTTGCTCCAGTACCATACGTTGAAAAGGCTATCCTTCCTCTGTTGAATTGCTTTTGTAGTGTTGTTAACAATCATTTGAGCATGTTTGTGCAGGTCTATTTCGGGAGTTTTCCCCATCAACTTTTCACCTAATAGGCTTAGCAGCTATTGATGATCATTTATTATTGCATTATGGGTTGCAAAATGGTAGTAGTCTTTCATCCCTACACTTATTAGTTGGGCTGCTTCTGTAAAAGAGATTTTCTTCATCAACTCTTTAGTTGCTCTGAGGTGTAATTTATATGGAAATTGACAAATAAATACTTGCTTTCTTCCTTAATATTACCCATTTTCGGAATAATAACTTGATTTCCTACCATCCTCCAAAGGTGACTAATAATGAGTTTGTAAGTACCTTTTTGAGCTAATGGATTTTTAACATATTTGATATGTCTCAATTCACTGCTGTTATTGTTCTTATTGATACTCAAGTTGGCTTATTTTGCCAGTGGGAGGCTATTCAAGTTGGCTTCTGAGTCCATTTGATCCAATTCCTGAAGTCTTTGACAGCTTCCCTGTTCTCAGGCATAAGAGTAACTGCCAGGTTCAACTTATAAATTTCTTGCCCCAGACTTGGAATCAGCCATTCTCTCAGGACTCTGATTCTTTTTCATGGAAATGATAGAGATCACAATCTGGATGTTAACAACCCAGCAGCTCTTAACACTCTTAGTACTTTAATAAATATATCAGTGTAATTATTTGCATATAATATACACATATCATAGAGGAAAAATCAGTCATGAATTTATATGGATACTTTCAATTCAAACTTAAAGATAAGGTCTTGGCTTACATTTCTTTTTTCTTTTATTGATTTCAGAGAGAGGTGGAGTGATAGAAACATCAATGATGAGAGAGAATCACTGACTAGTTGCTTCCTGCATACCCTACACAGGGGATTGAACCTGCAACCCGGGCATGTGTCCTAACTGGGAATCTGGTTCATAGGTCAACACTCAACTACTGAGCCACACCAGCTGGGCTTACATTTCTTTTTTCTTTTTTTAAGAACTTACATTTTTATTTTTTAATTATAGTTTGTATTCAGTATTATTTTTTATTGATTTCAGAGAGGAGGGGGGAGAGAGAGAGTGAGTGAGAGAATCATTGATTGGCTGCCTCCTGCACACCCCACCCTGGGGACAGAACCTACAATCCAATCATGTGCCCTGACCTGGAATTGAACCTTAACTTCCTGGTTCATAGGTCAACGCTGAAACACTGAGCCATGCCCAGGCACATTCAGCATTATTTTGTATTAGTTTCAGGTGTACAGCATAGTGGTTAAACAGTCATGTACTTTATAAAGTGTTCCTCTAAATATTTCTAGTACTCACCTGGCACCATACATAGTTATAGAATTTTCTATGCTGTACTTTACATTCCCATGATTATTTTGTAATTACAATTTGTACTTCTCAATCCCTTCATCCTTTTTCACCCAGTTCCCATACACCCTCCCTTCTGGCCACCAAGAGTCCACTTAATGTGTCTGTGAATCTGTTTCGATTTTGTTTGTTCATTTATTTTGTTTTTTTATATTCCACATATAAGTGAAATCTTGTGGTATTTGTCTTTCTCTGTCTGACTGACTTCACTTAGCATAATACCCTCTAGGTCCATCCATCCTATCACAAATGTTAAGATGGATGAGTGATATTCATTGCATATACAGGGTGTCCCAAAAAATGTATACATACTTTAACAGCTGATAGCTCAACATTGAAAATGAAATGCATTTTAATAAACCCTGCCTTTATAATTATTCAAAGTTTGCATATACATTTTTGAGGAATATATATATATATATATATATATATATATATATCACCACTTTTTTATCCATTCTTCTATTGATGGGCACTTAGATTGCTTCCATATCTTGGCTATTGTAAATAATGCTACAATGAACATAAGGGTGCATATATTCTTTTGAATTAGTGTTTTAGATTTCTTTGGATATATTCCCAGACGTGGAATTGCTGGGTTATAAGGCAGTTAAATATTTAGGTTTTTGTTTTTAATATATTTTTATTGATTTCAGAGAGGGAGAGAGAAACATAAATGATATACGTGGGGAGGGGTTTGGAATGGGAATGGAGGGATGAGGACAAATCAATAAAGAAATAATCAATAAAGAAATAAAAATAAAAACATAAATAACAAGAGAGAATCATCTTTTGGATGCTTCCTAGTACAACCCTATTGGGGATCAAGCCCACAACCCTGCATGTGCCCTGACCAGGAATTGAATAGTGACCAGTTCATAGGTTGATGCTCAACCACTAAGCCACACCGGCCAGGCACATTTTTAGTTTTTTGAGGACCCTCCATACTGTTTCCCATAGTGGCTGCACCAATTTGCATCCCCACTAACAGTGCAAGAGGGTTCTCTTTTCTCCACATCCTTGCCGGCACTTGTTTGTGGATTCATTGATGATATTGGCTTAAATTTCTTGATTTTATGTTTATATGGCTTGAAATGACAGTACCATAATTACTCATTTGATAGGTAAGTATTTTAGGGCCGATTCTTCAGCTTTATAGCCAAGATACTCTGTTAAAAATGTCCTGTGGAAACAGTTATAAAATTGGCTCATTTAGAAGCTTTTTAAAAAACTATATTCTTATCTGTTTTAATGGTAGATTATATTAATTTAAATAGGTATAGCCCACGCTTGATGGAAAAAATTCTCCAAATGGCTGAAGGTATTGATATTGGGGAGATGCCTTCATATGATCTGATGCTGTCCAAACCTTCTAAGGGTCATAAACGTCACCTCTCAACATATGATGGTGAGTATACTTGTTTCTGGAAGATGGGATTTGAAGAAACAACATGGCTTTTTTTTTTTTTGACAATATGAGAGTGGTATAACATTCATAACATTGGATCTTATACAAATGTAAAATAATTAACTTTTAGTTGTTCACAGTTGGGTATTTTTTGAGGATGCTAAATAGAACTGAAGTCACACTATAATGCTATCCTTAAATTCCACGCCATGAATCTCCCTCTAAATAGAAAAACCTTATACTCTGATCATTTGAGCATCTAAGTAACTAAATCCTCTTGGATGGGTTCAAGATGGACCAGCTTTCTACTGAATACTGTTCTAGGGAAGAAGCTCTAGTGTCTGGTATAGCCTCAACAGAGTTCTTCCATAGCTTTAAATTTGATATACCTCATAAAACATTAGTTTCCAGCTGTTGCTTGTTCTAGAAATAAAATATAGCGAACACTTTGGTGCATAACAGGTCAGAACTAAGATTTTGAAGTTGAAAACCTTTGGGATCTTTTGAGAATTATTTTATTTGAGTTTTAGTCACACTATGTGTAAAGCACCATCACAGAGTCACTCACCTCTGACACACAAAAAAGAGAAGCTTTGCAAATGCTTCCGGTCATCATCTGTGTTGCAGTAGAGCCATCTGTTCCAATTGCAGTCCTTAAGGGAGCTTTTCAGCACAGGTGGTATGAGATTAACACTGAAACAACTTCTTAGTCTGTACACATCTCCTGTGCTATAACTCATTAGACGCAAAAACAGCTACCATCGTGCATGGTGGTGACCTGCATATTTGATTCAAAGGCATATTTTCTATCAAGTCCCTTCCCTTACACATAAAAGGACAGGAATCATCCTACCTTATGCTGGAACCTTACATTGATATTTGAATTCCATCACCTCAGTGATCTGAAGTTTCTGTGACAGGAAGTATCTTATACCAACAATGCAGCTTGCAAATAATACAGTTGATACTATTTTCCTGCTTGGTTCTTTTGAAATATTCCGTCTTTAATGAACTGTAAATTTCACTCATTCTATAGGTCAAAATCCTCCTAAAAAGCAAGCCGGTTCCAAATTCCATGTGAGACCTCGTTTTGAGCCTGTACATTTTGTAGCTAGTAGTTCAAAAGATTTTGAAAGACAGGAAGATCCTTATGGCTCTCAAACAAAAGAGGTAAATGAACAAACACATTTTGCCAGAATGCCGAGAAACTACCAAGATTATACTCAAGACTCTTTCAGTGCACCAGATGGGAATGCTCAGTATTGTGATTCAGCAGGATTTCTTTTCACAAAAGACCAGCCTGTAACATCCAACGTGTATTTTGACCGTGGGAACCCTGCCCCAAGCAGCACATTACAGCAGGCAAACATGCAGTCGGCTCCTGAGCCTTCACTATCACAGACATTTCCTGAGTCAGTGGTAGCCAAGAAGCAGTATTTTATTGAAAAATTAACAGCGACCATCTGGAGCAACCTTTCTAATCCAGAGATGACTTCCGGATCTGATAAAATTAATTATACATACATGTTAACTCGTTGTATTCAGGCATGTAAGACAAATCCTGAGTATATATATGTTCCTTTAAAAGAAATCCCCCCTGCTGACATCCCCAAAAATAAGAAACTTCTGACAGATGGTTATGCTTGTGAAGTTAGATGCCAAAATATCTACTTAACTACAGGGTATGCTGGCAGCAAGAATGGGTCCAGGGATCGAGCTACTGAGCTAGCTGTAAAACTCCTGCAGAAGCGTATTGAAGTTAGGGTTATCCGGCGGAAATTCAAACACACGTATGGAGAGGACCTTGTGGTGTGTCAGATTGGCATGCCTTCGTATGACTTTCCTCCAGCTCTGAAGCCGCCAGAAGAGCTGGTGGTGCTGGCTAAGGATGCCTCTGGGCAGCCAATTTATAATGCTTCTGCCAAACACTGGACCAATTTTGTCCTTACAGAAAATGCAAATGATGCTATTGGTATCCTTAACAATTCTGCCTCATTCAACAAAATGTCAGTTGAATACAAATATGAGATGATGCCAAATCGCACATGGCGTTGTCGAGTGTTTTTGCAAGATCATTGCCTAGCTGAAGGTTATGGAACCAAAAAAACAAGTAAACATGCAGCTGCTGACGAGGCTTTGAAAATCCTTCAGAAAACACAACCCACTTACCCATCTGTCAAAAGTTCACAATGCCAAACAGGTTCTTCACCCAGGGGATCTGGCAAGAAGAAAGATATAAAGGATCTTGTGGTTTACGAGAATTCTTCAAATCCTGTGTGCACGCTGAACGACACAGCTCAGTTTAACCGAATGACCGTTGAATACGTCTATGAAAGAATGACAGGCCTCCGATGGAAATGCAAGGTGATTCTGGAGAGTGAAGTCATTGCAGAAGCAGTTGGGGTGAAGAAAACCGTCAAATATGAAGCTGCCGGGGAAGCTGTGAAAATCCTCAAAAAGACCCAGCCGACTGTCATTAACAACTTGAAGAAAGGAGCTATTGAAGATGTGATTTCAAGAAATGAGATTCAGGGCCGCTCCGCAGAGGAGGCTTACAAACAACAAATCAAAGAAGATAACATAGGGAATCAGCTGCTGAGAAAGATGGGCTGGACGGGTGGTGGTTTAGGTAAATCTGGTGAGGGCATTCGGGAGCCAATCTCTGTCAAAGAGCAGCATAAGCGGGAAGGGCTTGGTCTTGATGTAGAAAGGGTAAATAGAATTGCCAAGAGAGATATTGAACAGATCATCAGAAACTACGCCCGCTCTGAGAGCCACAGCGATTTGACTTTCTCTACAGAGCTGACTAACGACGAGCGGAAGCAAATACATCAAATCGCCCAGAAGTATGGTCTTAAGAGTAAGTCTCACGGGGTAGGCCATGACAGGTACCTGGTGGTAGGTAGAAAAAGACGGAAGGAAGACCTACTAGATCAGCTCAAACAGGAAGGCCAAGTGGGGCATTATGAGCTTGTGATGCCTCAAGCAAATTGAGATCTTACTAATTTATTTTGTAAATGCCTAATGAGGCATATCTGTGAATTACAGAAATGCTACATGTTCCAGTTGCAGAATATATTCATTCTTAAGATGTTTCACCTTGTTCATTTCATATAGAGCTTTATTAGATATTGGAACCTGAAAAACTATGTCTACTTGTATTAGCTTAATCCAGCAGATGATATTGTGCAGTTACTGTTTGTGTCTTTGATATTGCTGTGTCCCTCAGATTTTAGTAGTTTCTACAAAGCAAGAGCGCATATCCAAATGAATTTCACCCTAGAGAAAGAAATTCCCATCTTGAAGGGCATAGCACAGCAACCCGCAACAATATGTAAAGTTGATATTAACAACAATAAAACTTAATTCCACACTTAAAATGTCAGATCATTTTGTATTATCTATTTTCATCTTTGTGTGAAGCCAGTTATAGAATGTTTAACAGTAACTTGTGCTGTATGTGTAAATGTCCTTATCGACTAAATGATGTAAAACTTTCTTAAAGTGAATTTAGTGTTCGCTTATTTATAACTTCTACTATGTGGTTTTCAGCATATTGGAAGTGTGTATTGTACCTTGTGATATATCAATTTTAACAAATTCTAGTCTTCATGCTGAACGAGCACTACTTGAGAGAGTACTTGAAAACTTTCAGAGACTTTGGTTTAACCTGAAGAAAGGAAGCTGGAACTGTTTGTTCTTGGTGCCTTGCAGAGACTCAGCAACTCTCCGCTGTAGCTTTCGTGCGGTTTGGATGTACGGCGCATCCAGGGCGGCCGGAGCTGTGGTAGAACTTGGTAAAAGACTGAAGATACATTGGTGCTTTGATGAAAAGGTCTGTTGGCTGGTCACTCTCTCAAAAAGCTTATTGAGCTCAAAAGCCAACTTTGTAACATATTTAAAACAGCTATTTTCGCTTATTTCTGGAATGTAAAAAGAAAGTATATAAAAAGAATGTGTGTGCTTCCTGAATAAAAAGGAGCCGAAGTTGATCAAAATGGTGGTGTGCTTATTTCTGGGCAATAGCCTAGTGGTGACACTTTGGGGATCTGGAGAGGGGAAGTGGTGTTTGCACAAAGTATTTCAACACGAGAGCACATATGGATGAACTTAAATGACTTAGCAGATAGGAATGGCTCATCAGTTACTCAGGTTTTTCCTATGGACCAATATGCTGACTGCAACCAAATCTCAGGCTGTTTAATTCTGTTTTTGTATCTCAGATAAATCAAGTATTAATATTCACACTATTGATATTCAGAAGTGAATATTAAATACCTCCAATGAAATATTTAGAACAGTTAGGTTGTTTGCAGTATCTTAAAACATTTAGCACTGTGCTTGACATTAACTGCCCCACAATAATTTCTTTAACCCTATTTTTTATATTTGACATTAAGATGCTGTCCATTGTAGTTAAATCAATATTTTAAAAATATAAAAAATATAGCCGAGACCGGTTTGGCTCAATGGATAGAGCGTCGGCTTGGGGACTGAGGGGTCCCGGGTTCGATTCCGGTCAAGGGCATGTACCTTGGTTGCGGGCATATCCCCAGTAGGGGGTGTGCAAAAGGCAGCTGATCGATGACTCTCTCTCATCGACGTTTCTAGCTCTCTCTATCTCTCTCCCTTCCTCTCTGTACAAAAACAATAAAATATATTAAAAAAATATATATATATAAAAAATATAAAGGGATTAACTTTTATACCTGGATCTCTTAACCTTTAGTTACCTACAATGATTGGCACAGTATATACTTGCTTTTCACCAAGACTCTGCCTAGTGTGTGGTCCATTCCTAATGTTGGTAGGAAGAGAAGTGAGGTGTGCATTTTATTGGACACTTAATGTTTTAATGGCAAAGGGAACTAAGCTAATCGTTTTTGGTGTGTGTGTGTGTGTGTGTGTGTTTTTGTTTTGTTTTGTTTTTTTTACCTACAAGGCTCATACCAACCTTGAGAAGCTGTGGTTCAATTAGTGAGTTAGAAAAATCATCCTTGAGTTCTCTTGAGTAAGAATGGCTTTGGGGATTAAGGAATGTAAAAATTCATTTCTCTCTACATTTCTTTCCTCTTCCCAAAATTAGTTTGTTCTTGGGGGGGGGGGGCGGAGTAGGGTAATGTTACATGTAAATCTGGCTTATTTAGGTAAGTTCAACAGAGCAGAATGTTAATGTATCTAAAGTTAAGACTCCCAAGTAATTGGGCTAAGTATGTATTTGGTTCTGGATTTAAGGGTGCAAGATTTCCCAACTTCTTAGATCAGCTTCGGTATTGATGTGGAAATAGAGTGACATCGCTTAACTCTGAAAACAACATACTGTATCGATATGCTGGGAAATGGGTTTGGCAATGAGCTGCTGACAACCTTGCTATTCTGTTTTGTCCCCTAATGGTTCCTATATTTTCCCTTCCTTTGAAATAGTCATTTTTAACACAGTAACCTTGCACAATATATGAGCAGTTTCAAGTTTTGAGTTACTTAAATATTATACTAAGAAATTGTTGTTACACACACACACACACACAGTTTCACAGATATTAGAATTTCCCACTCCCTTTTGACTGCAAAATGAATGGAATTCTATGCCTTCTGTCGGGTTCTTTTTTATTACAATGCAAAACTTGACTGTTAATAGCCCCTGAAGCTGGAGATGGGTTCTAAATAAAGGACTCTAATTACAACTTTTCTTCCTTATCATGCCCGTTTCCACACATTAGCAGGTGCAGAATTGAAGACTCAAGTTCAGATCTGTCATTTTAAAAGGGACCTCACATAACCTGTTTTAACTTTAAAATAATTGTCATATGCAGGCAGGCTGAGGCATTTGTAAAAAAAAAAAAAAATGGTAAAGAAAAAAGGTAAATTAGCATTAAATGTCAAATGAATGGTTTCTGGTACCTTTTACCATGGGTATGATTGCTTTGGGAGGTCAGCTTGTTGACTTGTAAGGTTTTGAAAGGGTTATCCCATGAGAAATTGGGAATATGTTTCTCAGGTGTACAAAAGGAAAAAAATTGATCTTCACATTCCTGATTTCACCTTAATTTAGTGTGGTTAGCAGCTGAAACCGGCTTGGCTAAGTGGATAGAGCGGACTGAAGGGTCCCAGGTTCGATTCTGGTCAAGGACATGTACGTACATTGGTTGCGGGCACATCCCCCGTGGGGGATGTACAGGAGGCAACTGGTCGATGTTTCCCTCTCATCGACGTTTCTAGCTCTCTGTCCCTCTCCCCCTCTGTGGCAAATCAATATATTAATAAAAAAATAAATAAAGTGTGGTTAGCAATGTCAATAAGATACCCAGCCACAATGGGATAAAAAAGTAAATTTAAAACTAGTATCAAGTGGAGACACAATGTTTCTACTTTGAAGCAGAAGTGGACTTAAGTACATATAAGAATACTGCTGCTAAGTGAAACAAACCAGTTAATGTGGTCAGTGTCGAATGAACTCACCCCACATTGAGCATTCCTTAAAGTGCCATTGTCTTAATTGATGAATGGGTACAATACCTTAAGGATTTAATTTTACTTAGTTCCCTCCCCCAAACAAGTAAAGAGGGGAGTTTCCACAAAGTCACTGTTCTTATCTATTTAAAAAGAAATAGGATGTTTCTCAGAAGAGTTTTGTTTAAGCAAGATAACTTGAGGATACTTGTACTGCCAAACTTTACACAGAACTGAAAATACTATTTTATAATAGTTTGGTACTGTTTGTTTTTAAGCTAGGGCTTTTAAAAAGAGGTGGATGTCAGGACAAGAAGTTAGGTGTTGGTCTCTGAGGGTGCTGGTAAAGATCTGGGTTTGTTTATTCTCTTTATCTCAATTTCATTCCTTTGATTGATCATAATATTAATGCTAAGGTAGCTTTGTTTTATTTAAGTTTTACATACTGTTAAAATGTTTTTTATAAAGCATTTCTCATGATTGAAAGGAAAAAAGGTTCTAACAGTATCTATTCTTTTCCCAGAATCTGTACTTTTACTTTTACCATGTTTATTTCAAAGGGGGGAAAGAGTAGATATACGATTTCAATAATACCAAAAGTTCATACTGAGCTAAAATATAATTATACTTTGACTACAAAATTTTAAGTTTATTTTTATTTACAACTTTTGAAAAATGTACATTTTTTACATGGGTTACTTGTGCAAAGTTAGATTTAGAAGAGTGATAAATGCACACAAGGTGACAATGGAACATTTAGACAAAACATTTACAAGCCTTGTCCCACACTGCTACTTAAAAGGTTACTATTTAAAAGTATAAATATCCAAAGAAAGATTGCAAACATTGACTTTAAGGTTCTTATAATACTGAAAGGAAAGAAGAAACTAAAGCATGCAGCATTAATTCAGGATTTTCGTGGAAAACAGTTTGCCACAGACACGCTCTTTTCATTGGGTTAAAACTCTAAACAATGAGGGGAGATTATAAATTTGTTCATCTAAGGTAGCACTACTTTTAAAAGATTAAAGGATCACCAACCTTCCCCACCTTAAAAATTTGTTTCCATTCCTCTGCTCCCACACCTCTTTAAAAGGTAAAACTCGGAAGACTTCCAGTACATTCATCCCTAAGTATTCAACAGAACAGACACAACCATCAGAGGCTTAACTACCTAGTATACATCAACAAAACTCCCCCCATCCCCAAATATTTTCGATCTGGGGTTGGTTGAATCCATGGATATGGTACCTGCAGATATAGAAGGCGGACTGTAGTCTGAAACTTAGCATGGGTGTGTCCAGTGAATATCTTGCAAGGAGGGGATGTGTCGGTTACTACAGTGACTGTACTCCTTTGGCTGAGTCCTTTAACACTCTCCTTCCTACCAACGAAAACCACCTTGTAATGCATATTGGCTAGATCTTAGAAATAATGCGTTTTAAAACTTTCATCTCTTCCAAATGGATGTTTATATGGATTTGTTTCCCTGTTTTCTATAGGCCATGTTCCAAATGTTCACTTCTAAGTCCAACACAAGTGTCTCAGCCAGGATGAAACACTTAAATCATTTTGTTAAAAATAACATCCCGGTTATCAAGCTATGCAGAAGCACCACTTGTATAACAATTCGTTTAAGGAACTTAGTGTAAAGTACGTTAACAAAATACTGCCCCACAGCTGGAGGTGAGATACAACAGAAAAGGAATTAAGCATTAATAATTTTTGCACGTAACCCAGGTACAGTACATTTGATCTCATAGGGGGTGTTTTTGATGTTCAATAAGAAGATAGAAGGGGTAGGAAAAGTTTGGCGAGGGAAGATGGAAACAGCAGAATAACTATTTTGCTTTTAATGGAAGTAAATGTGATGACACTGAAGAATAAGGAGACAAACACATCAATATATAGTTTTCATTTGCCCAGCCTCTTCACTTGCTGCACCCAAATCAACAATCACGCCAGCTCTGTTCTACTATCGCAGAAACACGTTTCTCATATTCTCGCTTGTTCTCCTGATACAGCTGAGCGGCCTGGCTGTTTGCTGGACTATTGGGATTGGGCTCATCCAATAGAGACTACAAAGACAATTTGTAAAAGGTCAGTTCCTAGATGCAGTATATATATATATTTGCTAGTATCTAGACAAATATACACATTCTGGTGGCTGAGGTCTTGAGACCAACCTTTTACCTTAAGATATAACTTTCAAAACAATTCAGTTGCTAATATAAACACATAAAAGGCCAGTTAGTTACATGAAGGAAAAATTCACCTGTATTGATGTTAAAATGGAAGACACATCATAAGTTGGACTCCAGCGGTTCTGAAGTATGTCCAGACATATACTACCATCTGCATAGACTAAGAGCAGAGAAATATGTATGTTAAACATAACAAAACCAATACGGTTTTAACAGCATAATCAAGACAAACAAATGAATATTTTGTTTTTGAGGTTTAACAAGATTTTCTCAGCTACTCCTCAGTTATTTTCCTAAAAACAGAATCATGACTAATGAAATAATCAGGATCAGAGAATATAAAA